GTACATTAAATTTTTTAAAAATTTTTTAAAACACCACAATTATAACGACTAGAAAGTTTTTTTTTATTAGTGATGTTTTTGTTTTTATTTTATTAAAAAACATTTTTAAAACATGCGTAAATGTTGCTACATCGACTATCTTATAGCCTGACTCGCAACAGAATGCTGCTACATCGACTGACAAATAGCGTGACTCGCAACGGAGTGCTGCTACATCGACTGACAAATAGCCTGACTCGCAACAGAGTGCTGCTACATTGACTGACAAATAGCCTGACTCGCAAGGGAGTGCTGCTACAACGACTGACAAATAGCCTGACTCGCAAGGGAGTGCTGCTACATCGACTGAGGGTTTGGTTTGGGCAGGCAGTCTATCATTTGAAAAAAAAAAAAAAATTCAAGTTTTTAAACTTTTTCTGGTCTGGTTTATTAACGCGCTCTTTAAAACTACAGTTTATGGGAAACTCTTTTCAACTACTATGCAAGAGTATATATATATATATATATATATATATATATATATATATATATATATATATATATATATATATATATATATATATATATATATATATATATATATATATAATATGATATATGCACTGATAAAAAGTGACACATCTCCATTAATATGCAGTCGTTTTAAGAAGAAGCACTAGGTACACTATTTTACCATATTTTTTTATTAAACTAATTAAAAAATTTATTGACAATTTTATAATTTTTTATTCAATGGCAATGAATTTAAAATGAATATTAATTTTATATGTTTATACTATTATAATTTTAAAATAGAAATTTAATATCTTATTACTGAGTTTCAAAACGATTTTATCTAAATGATTTGGCTACTTTAAAAGCCTTTTTTAAATTTGTGAACGAAATCTGTATACTCATTGTTTACCAAATGTATATTAAAAAAAAACTTTATCAATATACATTTATCACGATACAAACGAAATGATTGCATAAAGAAATATTTAACTAATAAAAAGCAAAAACAAAACAAAAAAAATTTAAAAAAATAATCAAAATTGATAAGATTTTTTTTTAATTTATAGACATCATATTTCTGCATAATTTTAATTTTTTAACATTATAATTCTTCATACTTTTCTCACTCTTTGACAAAACTTTTACGTATAAAGTCATATTTTATTACAACTTTAAAAAAATGACTTTATTATATTATGGACCAATTGGCTTAGGACGTAATAGCTGCTAATAACTGTTTGTGTGTGTGTGTGTGTGTGTGTGTGTGTGTGTGGGTATGTATTATAAAAGCATTTCACACACTATTACCAATAGTATACTAAATAGATCATTTCAGTAATGTGTTAATGACATCCGCTCCTGCTTTAAAAATATTGTTAATACAGCTGTTAAATTTATAGGTGTGGCAAAATAATGTTGCAAAATTTTGATTGTTGCAAATTTTGATTGCCGCAAATTTGATTGTCAAAAATGTGAAAAAGGAATAGTGTCGCAAGATAAAAATGAATTTAATGAATAGTGTCAAAAATAGAAAAAAGGATGTTGTAAAGGAGTTTAATGAATAGTTAAAAAAACAAAAATAATAATAATAACTATAAATGCGTATTTAAACAACAGGTACAATGTCACACTGAAATAGCCTGAAATTAACTGAAATTATAATAAACTCAACAACAAAACAGGCGCATATATTTATAGTAGAGAATATTGCTACCAAAATAACTAGGGTAAAAAAGTCACTAACCAAAATTTTTTTTTTTTTTTTTTTTTTCACCTCCCTAATGTTGAGAAGGCCACTACAGACAAGGAGGCTACTTGATTGTGGTTATAACCCTGTCTCAACTCTATAACTCCGAAACACGAACCTTGATGAACAAGGCCGCTGCACGGAGAAACAAGTTGAGCGCGGTACTACCAGGGACGTGGTGGGGATCGAACTCAGAACCTCTTGCTTATGAAGCGAGCGCTCTACCACTACACCACTACCGCATAAAGTTATTTTATAAAAATTTAAGGCAGTATCTTGTTTCAAGTTCTTATTTATTATTGTTTATTTACAAATTGAAAGTCTTTACATTGAGAAGTACAAAATCACAAATTTTAATACACTTAAATGTTATTAAAAGTAATTTTACATGAATAAATAGACATCAACTTGTGTTTGGATGTCTTTGAAAAAGATTTCTGTAAACTTGGGTATATAATCATAGTTTATTCCAAAAAATTATTAAATTGAAACAATTATTAAATCACAAATAGTGTAGTTTTTTTTATATTTTAGCTAACAATGCAAGAGGTTAGGTACTAAAATAAACAGAGGTTTAGGTACTAAATAATAATACTAATAACTAGCTAATTCAGTGCCATTGGTTATTTCACAATGAAATAACCAATTTTTTGTGTAATTAGATATGCTAATTATTGAGATTGTCACGAATAGTGACTTTGTCAAATACCAAATACCAAATATACAGCTAGACGCTCAACCAAAGCACCAATTATTGAGCTGCTGAATATAAATTATTAATTTTATAATGGCATTTAATGTTGAAGTAGTGAAGATGACAGTAATAATCATTATCAGTGTATAGACACAAATCTATCAATACTGTATTGTTATTGCATTGAATCACAACCTCGTGTTGTTGCATTAAACCTTGCAGTGTTGTTGCATTAAACCTTGCAGTACTGGAATAACTACTAACTAAATGTACAATGAAAAAAAATATATTCTTTAGTTATTGTTGTTTCTTTTACTATCTAATATTGAAAAATCAGGATATGTATCAATCTATAAAATATACCTACTTACTTGCAATGTATTTACCACAAAAAATAAACTGTCTTATAAACTCATAAACAGATGTATACAAACTGTAATGATTTTACATGCTTTTTTTTTGGAACACAATACATAGGTTCATTCACTGTACATAGGTTCAATACAATTCATTACAGTTTGTTTTTCACATAATTTTTCATCACTAGTTAGTAGTTATGCCATTGTTTTTAAAAAAAATTGGATTGTGTACAATCAATCTATTTATTTAAACTCTCTTTCAACCTCAAACTATGAAAAAGAAAATAAATATCTTAATATATGATATCCTACATATATCATATATAAATATATCAAAAAACTAATTAAAACTTTTTTTCATAAAATGTTTTGCAAACAGAAAAATTTTCGTATATTTTGCAATTATGTAGGAACTTTTCTGAAATTAACTTTGAATCAATGTTATTGCACTACTTTAAAGATATTTCAATAATATCTTAGCAAGCATCTGTCAGACAACATGCATGACTCTTGGATATGTATAACTAATTGGATTTAACCTAACTTAAAAAAAATCCACAAGTTTAAGCAAAATTGTTTTCATTCGTTACTAATAATTATTAATAGGAAATACCTTTATAAACAGCAGAATTTTGTTCTAACTCTTCTAGCTTTTTTACTAAACCATCTAAAATCAGAAGAATATTTATAATTGATATTAAGTTAAGTTTTTTTATAATACAATTCAAAATAACTCAAAATAAATATGTAATAGAAATATCTTTCCCATAAAACAGCAATGCATTTTTTCTCTATTAAATAGAATAAACTTGTCAAAAATCATGTCTATTAGAAAACACCATACTTTATAAAAAAAAGCATTTTCTAATAGGCAATATTTTTACTCAAGGGTTAAAAATAAACATGAAATAGTAATAATTTAAAAATAACAAAAATAAAATCTAAATTTTTTTAAACCATATGCTTGTTAAAACAGCTTAGCAGGCAAAATTTTATAAAATTTTTTCCTATAATTATTTATAAAATAATTTCTTACATGCTATATAAAAAAGTTTTTGCAAGTGTAGTAAGTCTAATAATTTATTATATATATATATATATATATATATATATATATATATATATATATATATATATATATATATATATATATATATATATATATATATATATTTTAAAATTTTTAATTAGTTTTTTTTCTTAATTAGATGTAATACAGATAACTTGTCTCCTTTACTTTCTTCTTTTCTAATTCAAATTGTATGAATTAGCGGTTCAGGACAGCCGTATAAACAGGACAGCTGTATGAACAGGACAGCTGTATGAACAGGACAACTTTATGAACGGGACAACTGTATTAACAGGACAGCTGTATTAACAGGACAGCTGTATCAACAGGACAGCTGTATTAACAGGACAGCTGTATTAACAGGACAGCTGTATTAACAGGACAGCTGTATCAACAGGACAGGTGTATGAACTTGAAATTCAGGAGACTTTATCTTCTTTCCCTCTTTATGTTTTTTACCTTTAATTCATCTTAGTACCCAATAAAAAATTCAGAAAAACATAATATAAAATAATTTGTGACAATAAAGTTTAACTATAACAATAAATTTTTCCTCTTGAAATATTTTTTATTTTTCATTTGTTTAATAATTTAATAATTTTAATAATGTTAAATAACTTTCATTCATTAATTATGATTATATTCTTTTGTTATTGAAAAAATTGATAAAAATTTTGGTTTTGCTTGTAATACTTGTCTTAAATCATAAACAATTTTAGTAAATATTTAAACGATTATAACAAAAGATTTAATAATAAGCTAAAATCAAAAATTTAAATTTAAAAGTCAGTAAATATTAAATTTGCAAAATTTATAAAGTATATAAGTATAAATTTATAAAGTATATAAGTATATGTGTGTGTCCTGGTCCTATATATTTAGGATTTATTTTTATTTTGTATCTGTTAAAAAAAATTTTTTTTTTTTAATGATATTGAAAATTAGTTTAATTTTCTACTTTAACTTTATTTAAAATATATTTTATATAATGTTACTTAATAATTTATAACAAAAATATTTCAAACTATTTTGAAAAAGATTTTTAAGTATAATTTAAAACTGATAGAAAAAAATTTTCACGTTAAATCTATATGTATTGATTTATTTTAGATTTAAAAGTATTATTTTATATAATTAAAAATGTCAATGAGAAATGGGGAAAAAAAGGCTGGAGAACGAGAGGAAGTAACTGAAGTTTGAATTAAACTTCAAATTTGAACTTGAAATTCAAATGAACAAACTTGTTTCTCCACGCAGCAACCTTGTTTATAAAGGTTCGTGTTAGGACGTTAAAGAGTTAAGAGAGGGTTGTAACCACAATAAGGTAGCTTCCTCTACTGTAGTGACCTTATCAGGTCACTACTACTCATTTAAATTCACCTTGGAAGGTGAATAACATAAAAGATAAAAAAATCTTAATCGATAAAAATATTTGAATAAAAATTGTGATAATGTATTTCTAAATAATGATTCAAATATTATTAAACCTGCTTTGAAAGCTGTTATTGTTGATTATAATTAGTAAACGACCGGGGTTGATATTTGACCGGGGCTGGGTCTGATAAAATATAGCCGGGGACAGGGCTGGGGATAGGTTTGTAACCAGGGCTGCATAAACAATTAAACAGCCTAAAGAATTTTTTTTTTATTCAAAATTCATGTTATATTTTGTATACATATGCATATATAAACATCATTATGATCATCATTACCATCATGATCATCATGATCATCATGATCATCATCATCATCATCATCATCATCATCATCATCATCATCATCATCATAATCATCATCATCATCATCATCATCATTATCATCATCATTATCATTATCATCATCATCACCATTATCATCATCATAATCATCATCATCATCATCACCATCATCATAAGGCTTTAGCTTTCCTTGTTTATGCTGTTTCTCTAATATAAACAATCTAGAGCATTTTCTTTCTTTAACTAAACCTCATTCATACAATCTATAAGGCACTCTCATCAAGTTTTCTTTCTTATACCACAACCATTTTCTCTCTTTTACCTCTCTAGATGCTGATACCTAAATCGCTTTAATCTTCTCTAACAAACGTTGTCCGACAAGACGCTTTTTCTAATCTGTTTAAGACTTTATTCCTTCTGGAATAAAAGCTTCTATTTCATCTTTTCAGTATTAAGTCAAGCCTCATTCTACTCAGCATTTTTTATCATCTTGTTGTTTTGTTAAACAGTAATCATCTTTTTGATCTTTTTTACAAGAGCATCTCTTATAAACAAATGTCCTTTTATTATTCCAAGAATGTATTGAGGTGGGCAAAATAATGCCGACCTCAATTTTCCTAGTTCCAAGGGTTGCCCATTGTTGAACATTAAAATCAATATGGCTTCTAAACCTAAAGTTAATTCTCAATTAAACACTTCTACAGTTTGTGCTCCAGACAAGATTTCCATCATAGTCTTAATCATGTTCTCCAGAATTCTTTTCAGTTTTTGCTAAACTTTTAAAAAGTGCTGAACAAGTGGTTTCAATTTTTCAAAACTCTAGAAAAACACTTTGACCTCTCCAATTACCCTACAATTAGCCTTCACTCTGTTACTAGTTTCTTTATATAAAGTTTTTAAGAATAATAAACTTTTTTTTTCTAACTGCAAAATTAAAGTTATTCTTGAAGGCCTACACTCCACTTTATTTCAAGTAACTTTAAGAATACCACAAGGTTCTATCTTTGCTCCTGTATTGTTTTTTATCTACAATAATAATCTTCATAAAAATTTTACACCTAAAGTACCTCTATTAGCTAAGGACTTTATACTCTTGTCTTGACAAAAAATCTTCACTTTTTGATTGCTTATAATAAGTGCTAGTTTTTAATCTGATCTCTCTTCTGCACCAGTCTAAGGCTTTGCAGTGGCTTGTGTATTTGAATGTTTTAAGGCAACAAAACTCATTTATTTACTGCAAAAAAATATTGCAATATTGTTGGCATTCCCATATTGACAAATAACAACCCTCTTACTCTCAGACAAAGTCTAAAAACACATTGTAATTGTAGTTAAACCTGCTTTATCTGCCAAGCTTGAACCACTCTCTTATTGTTGTAAGGTTGCATTTCTTTATTTTTTCTACAAATATTATCATAGTCAATGTTCAAACAAGGTTCCATCACTATTACGATAAACCAAAACTCATTCTTACTTGGCTTCTTATTTAACAAGTTACATCCTATTACTGTACTTCCCTTCATGCTATAAAAACTTTTATTAATTCAATTTTTTGTCTTGCGAATCGAAAAAGCCTTTTAACTCTTCCCCATCTTCATTTTTTTATTTTTAATACATCCTGAAACTTTAAAGTCATTTAACCATTTTCTAGTATTTTAATCTGTCCTGTTTAACCATTTTAACTTGTCCTCTATTTTAAAATAAGTTCATAAATTAACACTGGTTGCTTGCATTCTTGTTGAAAGTAAATTGGAGTTTAAAAACATATAAATATATACTTGTAATAAATAGTAAATGTAATAAATAGTAAATGTAAACTTAAAATTATAATTTGGGGCCTCAATCACTTACTAGTTATAATATTTAATAATAACTTAGTTAATAATATTATAGTTATAATGTTAATGTTGGTTATAATAGTTCATAAAATTATTAAATATCTTTAAAAAACCCAGATTACCTGGGTTTTATTGGGTTTTTATATGGATGTTTTATTGGGTTTTATTGGGCGGTTTATAATGCCAACCCTTATAGTGAAGGAACTTACCTGAACTATGGTTAAAGAAAATCTCTAAAATAAAGCCTGCAGTTTATTGTGGAAATTGGTAGGAGGTTGCAAATCTTTCTAGTGATGTAATAGTCTTTGAGTTTGAATGACACCATTTTACTTAGTTAATGTTTTTATCTTAAAAATACTGAACAAGTTCACTTTTTATTTTTCTGGTTTTAAGACTTTCTAATTCTAAGATTGACAAACATATTTTGTATGATTTGTGATTGAAACCTGTTACAAACTTTAAGTCTTTTTGTTTCCTTTTTATAGATTTTAGACTAGTGCATAAAAATTCTAATTTCTGACATGTATTGTTGTATAAAGTTTAGCTATATATATATACTTTAATCTTTTTAGTTATTTATCATGGCAGTTAATTTGCTTTCAACTGCAAAAAGCTTGAGATATTGTGAAATAATTTTTAATGTCATTAAAAAATTAACTAATTAGAAGTGGTGAAGAAAATTGTGATGCCTAACTTAAGTGAATCCACAATGTTCTTCTGCAATTAAGTTATGTGAATTTAAGTAAATTTTTATGCAACCTTTGACAAGTTTTTGCATTACTATACTGATAGCCAATGATGATAAGGTTGATAAACTATTTGGTTGTTTTTTGTTTGTTTGTTTTTAATTGATGATTTTTTGTTTATTTAAGTTTGAAGCTGGTTTTATAAGAAAATTTGACTTTAGTTTTTGATTAGCTGCTTTTTTAGATATCTTTATTGTGCAATTTAAAAGATTTTATGCTTATTTTATTACCATTTATATAGTTTAAATTTCTAAAAAATTTTATCAGATTTTAAAGCATTTGATTGGTGTTTTAATTATTTAACTGTGTCAGATGATGCTGTAGAATGTTGAATCACCTTTTTGATGCACTTTAAATATTTTATGATTTTTTTTGTATGGTGTGTGAGCCATAAAAGTTTCAGGTGAGAATTTAATGAAGATTTTTTTCTCAATATTTAATAAAGATTTTTTTCTCAATATTTAATGAAGATTTTTTTCTCAATATTTAATGAAGATTTTTTTCTCAATATTTAATGAAGATTTTTTTCTCAATATATTTAATGAATTATGTAGTGTAGATCTTATTTAGGTCATTTGTAATTATTAGATCAATGATGTTGTAAATTAAAGTTATTTCAAATGCCGATTGCACTAAAATGAGGACATATACTGGAAATATCAACTTTTATTAATGTTCCAGTGTCCTATTATATGTCCTGTATTGACTAATAGCAACATTCTTACTGAGCTCTCTATTCTTACTGAGCTCTCTACTCTTATTGAGCCCTCTAATCTTACTGAGCCCTCTACTCTTATGAAGCCCTCTACTCTTACTAAGCTCTCTACTCTTACTGAGCTCTCTACTCTTACTGAGCCCTCTACTCTTACTGAGCCGTCTACTCTTACTGAACCCTCTACTCTTACTGAGCTCTCTACTCTTACTGAGCTCTCTACTCTTACTGAACCCTCTACTCTTACTGAGCTCTCTACTCTTACTGAGCCCTCTACTCTTACTGAACCCTCTACTCTTACTAAGTCCTCTACTCTTACTGAGCCCTCTACTCTGACTGAGCTCTGTACTTAAACTTCTCCTTGATTATTATTTCTCTCTGATCTATAATACATATTTACAATACATTGCAAAGTTAGCACTTATTTAATTCTTTATCACTATAAATCTTTTATTCGACCTTGTATGGAATACTGTTGCTGTATTTAGACTGGTTTTTTTAATGAAACCCTCTCTCTTTTAGATAAGGTGCAAAGATGGATTGTAAATATTGCTGATCAAGCTCAATCTCATGTAACTCATAATAAAGCAAGAATGCATCTTTGTACTGTAACTTTTCTTTTATGTTTAAAAAACTTTTATCAATTAATTATTAAATAATTTTTTCCACAAACTTCTATACTTTGGAACTCTGTTGTCTTCATGTTTTCCTGATTCTTTCCTCCAATATAATCCAATTTACAAGTCTTCTGCCCACTGCTTTTTTTCTATTTAACTTTTTTCTTAGTTTTCTATTAACTTTCAACTTAATTAGTGATTACTTGCAGCCTTAATGGAAAAGAACTTGTCAGAATAGTTTAAATCTAATTAGGTAGCTTTGTTATGGATTTGTTTCTGCATCAATTTTGATTTCACACCAGGTAGATTCAGTTATAGAACTATTTAAGTGTTCAAAATTTATTTTTAGTCGATTCTTATGTAAATCACTTTATCTTCTTTGCTACATTAGTTTTTATTTTAATGTAGTTAGACAAAAAGAAAACAAATTTTTCATCAAACTAGGATTAAGTTATATGATATGTGTTTGGTTTTGTTTAACCAGCATTAATTGAAATTCATCATTTTGTTACAATAATGTTTTACTTTATTATTTTTGTTTGTGCTTGTGCATACGAGAAAATTGTTGATTTGTTTGCAATAGAACTCATATCAGAGTTTATTGATCTTCTAGAGTTTTTTATTTATTAATTTTTTTTTATTATTAACCTGACACTACTTATCTATTTGTGAATATTTTTAGTAACATTTAACAGTTAAAGTAACGAATAACTACTTATTACACATTATTACACAGGGGCTAAAAAGGTATTTGATTTTTTTTTTGGTATTATTATTAAACTCACCTCCCCAAACCTCTACAGTCACTGCAGTCAAGGAGGCTACACTTTTATTTTTCATTATTTCACTAGAAACCCTTTAACTCTTTCTCAACTTTAAACACCAGAATATAAACTTTGTTAAACTTTAAACTCCAGAATATAAACCATGCTGAACTTTAAATTCCAGAAAACAAACCTTGTTAAACAAGGCTACTACATGGAGAAAAAGGTTGCGCATGATACTTTTAGAGGCATAAAGTGGATTTGAAATTTGAACATCTTAATTTTGAGTTGAAAGTTCTACCACTTGTTTACTACTGCATTTTTCTGTATGCCAATTTTAATAAGAAAATGGCATACAGAAAATCAAGGATAAAACGAGAATAAAACAAGAACTATAGTTAAACTAAAACAATTTTTTTGCAGTTTTATACTTTGTATAACATTACCATTGTTTCTATGAAAATATATATGAAATGATTTGGGTTTAGACAGATAGAATCTAGATAAAAAGCTCATTTATTAAGTTAAAAAATATAATTTTTTTTTACTATTTCCTTTTCTTTCTTCTTCGTTTAGGACAGTAATAAAAAAAAATAATGATAATAAAACTTACCATTGCAAAGAATGGCTCTGCTCAAACCTAAAGCGTCAGCAGTACTTGAGCTCATGTTTTCAACCATACGATGCTTTGCCTTCTTTAAAACTATAATACAAGTTTAAAAGGTTTTAATAATTTTTATGGTTTACAAACTTTTAAAAAGATGTAAAAATTTATAAAGATGCTATTACTGATATCAAGTGTTTTTCCTTCTTTTTGGTCAGCATGGAGCTTGACATACTGAATTGTGACAGATTCCTAACGTTTCAAGAAATACAAAAACTTTAAAAATCCTAATTTTTAAGTTCCAATCATAAGCATCATCTTCCAACATCAAATATATTAAAATCACAATTTCAAATATATTATAATCAAAAAACTAGAGTACAGTCAAATAACAGAGAACATCAAATACATTGATACAACTGAGAAAGTTCATTAAGGTTCACTTTTAAAGCCACAATAGAAAATAACTTATATTATTAAGTTAAACAAATTGGCTTATTACAAAAAATGATTTGATAAACAGAATATAAAAAACTATGATATATATTATCTAGATTATACTGTTTCACACAATAGCAACTCATTCACACAACAGCAACACACCTACACAAAAACAACACATTTAAAAAATACCAACACAGCAACACAAAAGCAACACATTCACGCAACATCAACCCTCAGAATTAGAAAAATAAAGCTTGCCCACCTTTACAGCCAACCTTAAGCTATTTTTGGTTGGCATCAGGTTTTAAAAATTATTTTACAAAAACAATTATGGCAATCGATTATACTAAACTTTGTTCTCAATACCTTAAAATATTAATATAGTGTTCTCAATGCCTTACAATATCAATTTTATAAGGTATACAGAACTGTAATTTAAAACTAAAAAACAAAATCAAACATTTTTTTAGGCTGACGCACAATCCAGAAAAAAACAATCACAACAATCACAACAGTAAAAATTTCTTATAAAACCTTACCTCCAAGAGAAAAACTAACTTATTAAAAATATTTTAGAAAGTTAAAAATAAATTTAAAAAAAACAAGACAAATTAAATAACAAAAAACACTATAAGAACCCATAAAATCCAAAAAATCTAAACAATAATCAAAAAGTCCTCAAAAAAAAAATTGGTTAACTATCAAGAGAAACACGTACTCAAAACAAATTTAAAAAAAACGTAATCTTACATCCTTTTTTATGTTCTCTTTGTATATATGCACCAATAGACAATCATAATCAACAGTCATTTTTGTAATAATTTATGAAACATATTAGTAAATAACATTTTTTCAATAACAAACCTTTATTGCTTGTATTGCTCTTGCAACATCTACTTTTGTTTTTCCTTTCATCGATTTACCATTAACACCAACAATTTCATCTCCCGCTTGAATTGTACCATCTCTAGATGCAGGTGTGTTGTCAAAAACTTGTACAACATACAGACATGGACACAATGGAGCTCCTCCACCTATGCTTATTCCTATTAAATTTTGTCTATCTTTCTTCAATGTTATACTCCCTGGTTTGCCACTCAAAGATCTAAAATTAAACTTAATATTCTTTACAACATTTATATATTTATAAAAATTATTAATACCCAGTTTCTTATTATTACTACTATTGTTATTATTATTACTACTATCAGATTCTTATTGGATTAATAACAAATCAAATGTTCTTACTTCTTATCATACTTTGTTTTTGTAATAATAATTTTTAAAGCCTTAATTTTTTATGTGATTATAATTTTCAATTAAAAACAAAGTAAAATAATAAAAACAACTGGAGTGAGATTGGTTCAAAAAAAGTGTGTCTTGAGTTAAAGTATAAATTGTTGACCTTAAAAAACATATTAAAATCATCAGTGGTTACACAAAGTCTACTTTCAACCGCAGATGAAATCTAATCCACATGAACAATTTTGAAAAAATCTAAAGCTCTGAAAGAATACTTTTTAGCAGAGTAAAAAATAATATCAGTAATAATTCATCAACTTGAAGATAAAAAAAAAACAAAAACAGAATGTGAGTAAGAATGAAATTTTCTAACATTACAACAAACATTACTTCAAAATCATCTTTGTATGAATACAAACATCTTGGGATGGCTTTTTTATTTATTTTTTTTTACTTATTCGAGTAAATTAATTTTTATCAAAAAGTAAATTACATAAGTAATTTTAAATGTTTAATGTAAAGTTACATTTCCATATAAGTAATTAATTTTTTTGAAACAACTTTTACTTTATAATGTAAGTTTTTTTTTACTTTCAAAAGAAAGTTATGTAAAAGAAGTTTACAACAAAAAGTAATTTACTTTTGCATAGGAGGGAAAGTTTGAACCAGTTCTGGATTATGGGGGCTGCAACCCCATGTCCCGCAGATTTAGGAGCTATGAAATTTTAATTTTTGTAAGATTTTTTCATGACTAATAAGAAAAAAAGCCACCTGCTCAAAAGTATCACTAGACCCTGCAAGTCTTAATCCGACACTGGTTTTAAGAACTATGGCATTTTATGGTCATGAAAAATTTAGAACTTATTACGTAAATATCTTTATCTGCATGTAGTATCAGTGTATGTAGTATCAGCCTAACTACAGCAAGGCCAGTGAAAACAACATTTACTGTCCCTCAAGCAAACAGGCCCAGGGCCGCGGAGTTTAGGAACCTCAAGATGAATTTAAAAAGTTTTTTTTTTGTTTTTTTTTTTGTAAAAGTTATTGTTCCAGAGAAACAGAAGAAATATTTTAGTTGACAGGTTTTAAAATTTAAAATTCAAAGATTATGATTATAAAAAGTTTACACCCAAATCAAATAAGGTGGTTGTTTCAACATTTTCCTAAACATTCTAATATGATATAAATAAGAACATACTTAAGTTTGCCAATTAAGTATGTTTTATTTACAAAAAGTATTCTTATTAACCAAAATCATTGGTTTTTCATAATTATATTATTATTACATCTCAAAACTTATGCAAGTAGACATTATTATACTATTGGTTACCATAGAGTTTTTAAATGAGTTTAACATGGTTTTTAACAACACATTAAAAGACCTCATTTGTATGTAACTATTAAAAATACTATTAGTTTAAGCAGTTGTTGATTAAGTAATTCTAATCGGCTTGGTAAAAAAAGGAATCGCCGCATTTTCAAATTATGAAACTTTTTTACATTGCTTTTGACGTGGTATAATACCACGCAATACTTGTATTTAAATCAATTTAAAATTAAATCTTGTATTTTGTTCAATTTATATTTCCATGAATAATATTTTTTAAACCATTTTATTTATATGTTAAAAAAATAAAACTATTCAAAACTTCTGTTATTTATGCAATATTTCTTCTGTTTTAGTATGTTATTTTAGAAAAATATTTCTCTTTTTCTAAAATAACATACTAAAACAGGAGAATTTGGCATTTCAGCTACTTATATATTAATTTTTTAGGTATATTCCCAAAAAATGCAAAACTTTAATTGTCAAATAAAATAAACTTATTAAACTCAAACATCAGAAAAATACTAACATCAAAAAAATCATCAATTTTTAATAACAAATTTTTAATGACTTTATTATGTACAGATATTTAGGGGCTTGGCAATAAGACTATTTTTGTCTTCTTCTTGCCCCTGTCATTTGTATAATTTACAAAAGAAAAGTAACTATTTGTAACGGCAAATTTAGAAGAATTAAAAATTATAAAAATTAAAAATCAGCCACTGCATTAAAGAATTTCTTTAATGCAGTGGCTGGTCATTGATTATTGTTTGTAAATCAGTGAATTTGGTCATTGATCATTATTTAAAAAAAAAATAATAATGACCAAATTAAATATGAAAAAAAAAATAATTTGATAATATTGTTTGAAAAATACAAATGATCTTGTAGACTAAAGTCACTTATAAAAACATAATTTTCTTTGTTATTTTTTAACAAATTTTAAAAATGAAGTCAGCCTCATTTGATTTGTTATTGGCAAAAAAAGAGTTAAATTAACTTTTGCTCGAATGAGAAACAGAATTTGATTGTCAAACGAACTTATAACTTAATTAAAGATAATATTTTAAATCCTCTAAATAATTAGGGAGGTTGCTCAAAACTTATATGGTCATAATTAATGAACACTAAGAGACTATTGTATGACATTAAAGATTTTTTAATGAATTTAAATTTAGTTTTAAATGTTAAAAAAAAATGTATATATAAATGTTATAAACTCATCAATCTCACACTAATGGCATGAATGGGAGGTAAACATTTTAGGGGTTTATTGTTAACAGACTCTGATTATCGCAATACTTTTGAAAAGCTTTACATAAACATGAATATATAAATGTTTGGATTTTTGATTGAGAAGTTAAATTCTCAATCAAAAATAAAAAGCTGGCTACAGGCCTGATTTTAAATATATGTTAAATTTTAAGTATATGTTAACTTTTTTATATTAAATTTTTTTTAAATCTAAAGTAAAAAAAGTATCAAATATTTACTGAAAAAAAAAAAGAACTTGCTGTTATTTCATCTATATGATGAAATAATATCAAGACGCTTTTCTTCACAATCAACTATGTAATTTTAAATTCAAAGTGTGCTTTTTTGAACCACCCTACTAAATTTACTATGTTAAATAAATAAAAATAACTTGCTGTTGTGGTTATGAAAAGTTATAAATTTTTGTTAAGTTAATTACTTTTACTTTTTAAACTTTAATTTTATTTTTTTTAATTAATCTTGATTTATTCAAATCAGTTATTTAAAAGTTTTTTTTAAAAGACTGTCTGGTCTGGTTTATTGTTTTTGCTTTGGAAATGGCTCTGCATTTTGCAATTTTGTTCTAAGTTTGGTATTTTGGCTTCTTTTATTCAGCGTGGTTGTTGTTAAAAACCAATGTAACCAAAATAAGAGTTATTTCTAGAAATGACTAACTGGAATAATTGTTGTCTGGAATATACTAATTAAAATTAGTTCATTCCAGACATTAATAACTATTAATAAATAACCAAAGAAAAATAATAACTTTTATTTCTGTTAGAGTGGTTGTAACGGCCAGGGCCGACCAGGGCCATCTCAAACAGGAGGTGTAGGGGGTATCCCCTTCCCCTAAGCTGTTATTTATGCATTTGAGTTAGCACATTTGTACATTTAGCATTTCAGTTGTCAAGTCTTGAAGTATAGTTGGCAAATGTTAAATATTAAGGACCTTTTTTTTTTTGTGTGTGTGTGTGTGTGTGTGTGTGTGTGTGTGTGTGTGTGTGTCTATAGTAGGCAAAAAAAATTTCTAAAAATTATTAAAAAACAAATAAATCAAAAAAATTTTTTTTTTAGTTTATTTGTTTTGTATTAATTTTTGAAAAAAAGCCTTTTTATCTAAAAAGTTATAAACCTCATCTTTGAAGAAAAACAAAATATTAGAGAAAAAAATAAAGGTACGACCCCCCTTGCCCAGGAAACAAATTTAACACGCATGTTCATCGGGACTACACAAATGCTGTCAAGATAAAGTAAAACCAAAAAAAAAAAGAGATTCAAAAAAGTAACAATTTTAAGAAATACTTTTATTAAATTTACACAAATGCTGGAAGTTTCAGAGCTCTAGCTAGTCAGGAAGGTACTAAAAAATCAATTGCAAAATTCCAGGACAACTGATAGCCGACAATCAACTTGTGAAGTTAAAGTAACGTTTAAAAAAAATTTAAAGTTGATTCTAAAGCACTATTTTAATTGAATAAGATTTTATTTAATCCTTATCATCTTTGTACGGGTTAGACACCAATGCAACAAAAAGGAGGTCATTAGGGTGCCCACAACCTATAGTAGAAGATTAAACAGCTTTCCTTACCATCTTTTTTCAAATAGATTACATATGATAAAATGCAATAAAAGATTATATCTGATAAACACACCTTTAGTCATATAAATTATATCAGATAGTTTAAATGAGTTATAATTTTTTGAAAACTGTTTTAGCAGTTGATGTCTTTGCAGATAACAAAAATGTTATATTGCGTTATATTACCATAACAAAATACTTGATTAAAAAGGCAAAAACAAAGGAAAAAAAATGGAGAAAAAGCGCGCTCTAGCGAATAGTGACTTCAAGGTTTATACACATGCATGAATTACCCATAGCTTAGAAATTATGCTCCCTTCCCCCCCCCTTCCACCAAATTTTTCTTATGGCCACTAACCCTATTTCTGCTAAAAAAAATCAATGATTATTTAGCAACCACTATTAGCACTCATGCGGCAACCTGTCTCTACACTACTGGTATACCCACATGTTGACTCCTAACTATAATAGAACTACCCTTTATGATATACGTGAAAAAAAATATTTTCTCGATACCCCACCACAAACACTGCCCACATACATCAGAGTATTACCTGAAGTATTACCCTGAAGTATTACCCAGAAGTGCCCTCAAACAAGCAATGGATTTGAATACCCTATCTATCTCCAAATTTATGCTAAATAAACATGAAATGGCTGTTCTTTGAGAAAGTAAATATAACTTACATTTTACTTTCAAAGTAAAGTGCAAAATTTCAAAGAAAAAATTTACTTTTATTTGTTATTGTAAATACCAATTTTTTTATAAATTACTTTTATAATTATAATTATTTTTATAATTAGTTACTTTTACACATAAAAGTAATTTGTTGTTACGATGTAGTTTTATTTTACTTTGTAAACTAAGTGTTATGTTTTTTAAATATTATATTTACATAAGTTTACTTCATAATTAACTTTTTTACATATAAAAAGTAAAATTACAGTATGTTAATTTTTTACAAAATTATAACCAAAATTACTTTTCAAAGTAAATTACTTTACACAACTTACCATTAAGAGTAAGTTACATTTAGAAGTAATATCAAAAATGCAAATAACTTTTACTTGTAAAAGTAAATTACTTTTTCAAGTAACAGTTACTCATTTAAAAAACCAAACTTAAGTCCTACGGGCTTTCACACAAACAAACTTAAGTAATTAAGTTTTACATGCTGTATAATTTATGTAAAAAAAAACAAATTACTTTTAAATGTAAGTAAATTATATATTTTTATATGAGTTATGTAAAGTAATTTACATTCAAAAGTAATTCATATTTTTTTACATCAAAATAAGTAAAAGTGCCATCCCTACAAATATCCATTTGGAAATTTTTTCAAATTCTGGGATGATGGCAAATAACAAGATTAACACCAGCATAAAATTGTATGAAGATTGATAAGGTAAAAAAAAGTAATTTTTGTTTAAAAGATTGCCTATCAAAAAAAAAAGAAAAAAGAAACAAATCCTACAGAAAGAAATAAATGCTGAGTTTGGCAAACTTTAACTCAGGATTATAAAAATTAGTGGCAATAATTGCTTTAAATAAAATACTTAATGATTTTGGTCTATAATAATTTGCTTCATTCGCCCCTTGCACCTACTAACTCATGGTTTTACTCAATAAAGGATTATATGTTGGAGCACCTCTCATAGACTTGCTAAGATTTGGTTTGTAGTCATTAAAAATACGCAAATTATAACCTTTCCTCAATTTAAAGCAAATATTTAGTAACATTTCCTTGAAAACTCACATATTGTTTGTTTTGTTTTTTGCACTAGATTTTAGGTTTTTTCATATTTTACTTTGGTGCCATTACACAGCCAATTATTCATACTTAAGTATGAAATCAAAAAATTATCAGTTATTTCAGCACAAAAAATGCAATTAATTGATATCCACTTAACTTGAAAGTTTCTAAAATTGAAATCCTTCTTATTTTTAAAGTTTTTTTTTAGATCTATACAACCATGTTATTCATAAACAAAAAATGTTGATAAAAAAAAACTTGTGGAACAGTTTAAGAATTACTATATTACTATTATTACTTAAGAGATAAATTAACAATAAACTAAATTAAAAAATTGCAATTTCGCACTAATTCTTCTTATATTTTGATAACAGGTATCTACCTGTTATTGAAGTTAATGAAGAAATACACACACATAGCAAGTGAAAACATTTTCCATTATTTATCATATTGATACTATAAGTTTGATAGTTGGATAAAATCTTTTTTATTTTCTACATTCATTCAGAGTTGTCATGCCTAAACCAAAAAGCCCATCTTCATATTTAGAACTACTAATAAATGAAAAAGCTTTGCTGCTCTGTGATGTACTCTTACTGCAAATCTCATAAGCTTGACAATATTTTTTAGATATAAAGAGTTTAAAACTTTTATATTTTAGTATGTCTACAGATCAAAATTTTGAAATGAAATGCATAAACTGCTTCAAAATACTACCTAGGTTAGCTAGTCGTGTTTTCCTTTGATGACCCATATCTAAATTTATGTTATTGTTGAAGCAATATAATGTTGCTTTTTTAAATAATTGCTTCACTAACATTAGAAAAAATACATGTGAAGAATAACCTATAGTGTAGTAAATATTCCTTTACATCAACGTGAATTTTATAAATTATACTGTTTAAAGCTATTCACCTATTTACACACACACACAAAATCATATTTTTGGTGAGTTAAGCTTTTCAATGATGTAAAACAACATAACAAATTTAAAGTTAAACCATTTATATTTTAGTTTTTTGATAATATATTTTGGCATACAGGAGTTTACAATAAAAAAAAAAGATGTGATAAAAATATATATATAATTTTAAGTAGCTGGTAATTTATTATCAAAATAATTTGTTCCTCTATAGAAGCTGCCACTACCTTAATAAATAAATAACAACTAACTAACCAAATTATTAAAATCTGATCAACTGATAGAATCAAGTCAATAAGTTATCGGTTAAACTTTAAGCGATAACTTTAACTTAAAGTTAATTACGATAACATTAATGTTGATAAAACTGAATAATCAAAACAAAGCTTCTTATAAACAAAAAAAAGTTAAGACTTATACTTAGTAACGAAAAATAAATTGTACCAGCAATTTATACCTAGGATCAATTTCATATTCATATTCCATTTTTTATAACAAATATAATTCAAAGCAGCAAGTGCGTAGCAAATGAAAAACAACAACAAACCATTTTATTTATCATATCACGTCGCAAATTTAAACTACCATCTTACATTATTGCATCATCAAAACATTTAGCGATTTCGCCTAAAAATGTAATAAAATGTTGTTGGACTCGCCAAGTTATTAAATTTATTTAAATTTTGTTCAAGTTTTTACATTAATAAACAGAAAAATTTAAAACTGTTTAATTGTATTTAACCGTAATCTTAATAATAAACTACCTCATTTATTTCTCCAAAAAAATGATTGACGTTATTTTTGGATTTACTTATTGCTGTTGATTCAATATCTCAGTTCAACGTCAGCCTTCGATTAAAGCGACGTTGGTTTTAGGATTTATAATCAAGTCGGAAACTAAAATCCAAGTTCTCAATGACATCGGTGCTCACTAAACTAATCATAATTAAAAAATTACTTGAAGTTTTTTATAAAGATTGTCGGTTAAATTAACTTTGCGCCCCCTCTAGATTTTTGCAAAAAGATCTATTTTTTTTTACAAATTACGTTTTTTGCGGTACTTTATTAGTTTAGGTTTTTTTGGTATATGCCCATATAGTATATGCCCATACCGAATAATAATCTAGGGTATCTATCTTATTTTTGTATATCTCTTTGTCTGCACATGCTCATATATTATAATATAATAAAAAATGTAAAATCCAGATTATTTGTTGGTATCTCTCTCTCTTTTATTCATTTAAAAATATTCAAAACACATAATTAATAATAAATAAGAAATAATTTTAAATCAAAATGTTGTCTGTTTCTAAGATTATTGTTATTGCAGTAAATGCAATAAGACTCGTAATAAGGCTCGCAATTAAACTCCTGATTTTTTTTATTGCAGATTTAAAAACAAATTAAGTCATCAATTAATCATGTAGTATTTAAATTAAATGATTTAAACCACTATTAAATAATTTAATACAAAATAAGAACCTTTTAAAAGCTAATACTATATATAATAATTTTTCCTCTAAAAATGTAACAATGTTATTAAATTTTTAAGTTTTCAATTTATTTTAAAAAAATCGGAACAGTATTTCGGAACAAAATATTTCTTAAAAAAAAACATCCTTTTTAGAAATTAATGGTGTGGTGGTAAAAGATAATATTATTGCCATGAATTGTTCATAATATTATAGAAAAGGATATAAATTTTATATAAAAAATGTTTTAAATTAAACACATAATTTATTTTCAATAATTTATTATAGCAATTTAAAAAAGTATTTTGGGATAGAGGGAGTATGATTTTACTAGCGTATAACTATTTTATACAATAATAACCTATCTTTTGAATTGCAGAACCATGTCTGTTATTTGTTCTATTCTCGGTTGTCTGAGCAGGTATATTACATTTTATATTTGTCTTCGGCCATGAAAAAATGATTACAGTCGACTCTCGATATTTCTAACACTTAGGGGACCGGAAAAAAAGTTCAGAAAAAAAGTATCAAGAAAAGGGTTGAAAATAAAATCGTCCGACTTTCATTAAAACAAGTTATTTTTCTTACAAAAATCATTAAGAGAAAAAAAATACAACTTTTGGAAAAAAAAATCTGTTATCTCATATTGCTTCAAATTTTCCAACTTTTCTATCTTCATCAAATCCTCAAGTTTTAGTGCTAGGGATAGTATTTCATTTCCGTATAACATTGAATTATTGACGAAGTTTAAAAATTGAATTTAAAGAAATTTCTTTTCAAAAATTGGAAAAAATTAAATGTTATTAAAACATTTCTTGAAAAAAAATTGTTAAAAATTTCGAGATAACGAGTGAAAATTGCCCTGTGGACCAAAAATATTGTTCGAGATACCAAAAAGTTCGAGATATTAAGGTTCGATATATCGAGAGGCTTTTAGCCTAAACTAGTACGTTATGTCCGAGGGACCGCTAAAAAAGTTCGAGATACTCAAAAGTTCGAGATATCAAGTATTCGAGATATTGAGAGTTGACTGTATTTCGGACATTGGCAATAGCTGCTATAACAGCCTCTTCATCGTATTTTTGGTACTCCTTTTTTTCTTGGTGTTTATATTCATTCGAAAATGATTAAGTTCAAAGTCATTCGAAAAGCTGATTACAAAATTAGAATATGTTTTTTTTATTTTAAATCATTTAGTTTTTGCAAGTTCAAGTTTGATTTCAAACACTGCATTGGTTAAAAGAATTCAAATCATGCAAATCATCAATGATTAGTTAAAAGAATTCAAATTATGCAAATCATCAATGATTGGTTAAAAGAATTCAAATCATGCAAATCATGATTGATTGGTTAAAAAAATTCAAATCATGCAAACCATCAAAGATTGGTTAAAAGAATTCAAATCATGCAAATCATCATTGATTGGTTAAAAGAATTCAAATCATGCAAATAACCAGCTCCTAGTTTTAAATTTTTTTGTTTTGTTGTAAAAACATTGTAAGCAATTTTAGCATTGCTTTTAAAATTATTTAAAACCCCAAAAATCAATCAAAAAAGTAAAAGTAAAAACATATATTTGAACCGAACTTTGGTCAAATCGCACGCAGGCGTAGGCAGGGGGGACGCAGGGGAAGCGGATGCTCCCCCTGCAAAAAGTTTCTGAGCTTTGTATGCTGTTTGTATGCTGGTTCATATAGAATGTTGAATGGGTAGTGATTACAAGAATTTTTTGACCAAATTTATCATGGCAAGTGTAATTTTAGAGAATTTCCGGTGTGTAATTATGATATCATTTTAAAATTTAACAGTTGATTTATCTTTTTTAAAATTTCATTTTTTCAAGTTAAAAATTATAAAGTGTTTAGTTTTTCCATTTTGACTGAGGTCAGGTAGTCTGGTTTTGGTTTTCTTTGTTAGTTGAATGATTCTTTTTATTGAAAACTTAGGTTTATGTGTGTGTGTGTGTGTGCGTGCGTGCGTGTGTGTGTGTGTGTGTGTGTGTGTGTGTGTGTGTGTGTGTGTGTGTGTGTGTGTGTGTGTGTGTGTGTGTGTGTGTGTGTGTGTGTGTGTGTGTGTATATATATATATATATATATATATATATATATATATATATATATATATATATATATATATATATAACAATGTTATTGATAATTTAATTTTTTTTTTAAATTAGTTTTGATTAGACTGAAGGTCGTTTACTTCCACCAGAAAAAATTATTTTGGGTAACAATAAGTCAATAATATGCAATAGAGAAGCTGACTAGGGTAAAGAAGCAACACGAGAAGCTGTTATTACTGGGGTATATTTTAAAATTCAGCAGCAGCTCTTTTTTTAATTTGATATTACTTTATTACAGTTTAATTTCATCACATAGTAAATTTTGAAAAGGCGTCAACGTAGCCACAATGTCGCAGATACATGTTTCGCATTTTAGTAGGTGCTTAAAGTTGTCAAATCACAAGTCTATGTTTTTTCTATCAATTTTTCGCGTAATCTATGTCTTATATTTTATTACATTATTTTGTAATTTTCAAAATATATTGTTAAGCTAGCCATTAATTAAGATAATTAAAATAGCGCAATGCTTAAAAAAAATTTATGCTTATTTACTTTTTAAAATCTATACATTAAATTTTATCAAATTTAGTTATAGCAAAGTTACCTTCGATTATTGATTATCGATATTAAATCTTAAACATCAAATTTAAAAAAAAATTGTCTGGAAACGAATATAAAAAACTAAAAGACGCCGAATGTTGGAAAAAATTCAGAAAAACTACGGCAGTGTTCAAATGTATTTAAAACCTATAGAAACACCAAAAGATTTTGTCGTATGTTATGCTGATGATAGAGGCTCATACACAGATTGTGCTGATATACCACCACAACGTTATGATAGTGACTCAGTTACAGGACTCACAGTTGTCACAAATCCTGCTGATATACCACCACAGCGTAATGCTGATAATAGAGACTCATTCACAGATCGTGCGAATATACCACCACAACGTGATGCTAATGATAGTGACTCAGTTACAGATCATACTACTTTGGTGAAACCCATTATTAATTTCCATGTAAGCTACCCGGCAGAGCCTTACTTATTTTGTACTAAAAGCATCACACTAGCAGTTATTCGAGACTAACTACAATACGGGTTGTGCCAGCTAGGACTCTGTGATACCTTTAATGATTACACAAAAGATGACGAAAGAAGGCACTTTAGCAGAGCGCGATATAAAAAGAAATTTTTGAAATGTTCACGAGAAGAAGAACATAACTGTCACTGGTTGATTTATTCTCCACGAGTTAACGCAATGTTTTGTTTTACCTGCTGGCTTTTCAGCAGTAATAGAGCATACTGTTCTTTTAAGCAATTGTCGAAAAGGTTGTTTAAATTTTACAAAAGCTGTCTCCAAAATTGAGAAGCACAAATTATCAAAAAGCCATGAAGAATCTGTGAGACAGTTATTTTTAACAAAGTTTCGCATATAAAATGACAAAACGGTTTTGGCATAGCTTGTGGCCTCAGAGAGAAGACAGATAGAAAAAAACAGGAGGATTTTAAAGACTATCATAGATGGAGTATTGTTTTTAGGCAAACAAGGATTGGCTTTTCGTGGACACAGAGAATTTGGTAGTAAGGATTCCTGTAATGAAGGTAATTTTTTCAAACCTATAAAGCTTCTTGCTAAAAATTATCGTCCAGTTTCTGTTTTATCAGTTTTTTCTAAAATTCTTGAAAGAACTTTATTTGATCGAATTTTTAATCATCTCTCTAAAAATAATATACTTTACAAAAATCAGTACGGTTTCAAAAAAAAAGCAACTCTACAGAACACGTAGTACTTTAACTCACAAGATTTATTACTGACTCCTTCGAAAAATCACAATTTACTTTAGGTATTTTTATAGACTTATCTAAAGCCTTTGATACTTTTGTTTACGGCGTTCTCATAAATAAATAAGAACATTTGTTATCACTGCTAAAGTCTTGATGTTATTAAAATGTTACTTAAATATTCGTAAACAATTCATACATATTGATACACGTTCAACAACTACTGCTTTAGATATATCTTGTGGAGTCCCCCAGGGTTCCATACTATGACCACTATTATTTCCAATTTAGATAAA